TTTCTTTCTTTCTTTCTTTCTTTCTTTCTTTCTTCTCTTCCTTCCTGTCTTTCTTTCTTTCTTTCTTTCTTTCTTTCTTTCTTTCTTTCTTTCTTTCTTTGTTTCTTTGTTTCTCTTCTTCTATGTTGCCATCCACATACTATTTCATGTACCTGTTCCTTTAGACTATCACAAACAGCTGGACAGTTCTCGCAAAGACAAACAATTCTAAAGATGGTGCTTCTTTCTGACTGCACTGAACAGGACAAACACCACACACAGAAACTCAAGATCTTACTCTTCTGTAGTACTCACCAGAAACACAAATGCCACATATAGAAACACAAGACAGGACAAATACCACACACGTAAACACAAATACCACACACAGAAATACAAGACAGGACAAATACCACACACATAAACACAAGACAGGACAAATACCACACACAGAAACACAAGACAGGACAAATACCACACACAGAAACACAAGGCAGGACAAATACCACACACGTAAACACAATTACCACACACAGAAATACAAGACAGGACAAATACCACACACAGAAATACAAGACAGGACAAATACCACACACATAAACACAAGACAGGACAAATACCACACACAGAAACACAAGGCAGGACAAATACCACACACGTAAACACAATTACCACACACAGAAATACAAGACAGGACAAATACCACACACAGAAATACAAGACAGGACAAATACCACACACAGAAACACAAGACAGGACAAATACCACACACAGAAGCACAAGACAGGACAAATACCACACACAGAAACACAAGACAGGACAAATACCACACACAGAAACATAAGACAGGACAAATACCACACTCAGAAACACAAGATCTTACTCTACTGTAGTACTCGGGTGTTCTCACAAGAAACACAAACACCACACACAGAAACACAAGACCTTACTCTTTCGTAGAACTTACAAGAAACACAAATACCGCACACCGAAACACAATATCTTACTCTTCTGTAGTACTCGGGTGTTCTCACAAGAAACAACTTCCCATTGGGGTTTTCTAAACCCTAGCTGTGATGAAAATATCTCCCAGCATACGAATACTAACAGGTATACAGGGATTTTCTTTTTCAAGGTGTCCTTGGGAGCTCATGTTCGGCTATGCGTAATGAGCTAGACAGGCTAGAGAAAGCAGCTGTAAGGCTTCTTACCGCAGGTCACTTTCTTACTAACTACCCGTTACGCCATCTGGCGTTTAGGCCAGCAACAAAGGATCTCCAGCTTTGTTTGTTTTGGACCATCTTGATCAACGTCCCCCACGAATGGTTCCAGGACTTCATTTCAGACCCTACTGTGCGTCTCCAGGTCACTTTGGGTCTGCCCCTCTTGCGATGTACTTCGTGTATCCCCACGTCACACTGGTGGAATAATCATGATCAAAATGATGTTTTAAAAATATCCCTTGCCCATTTATATGAGATTGACGGCATCTGATTAGTTTAAAAAATTGCGTATGATAATCTCCAATTGTGTATTACGTGCACACTTAGTATGACAAGTAACTGTTACAGATAGAGATTCAAGGATTATAGATGTAAGTAATTGATCTGAGAGCGGTGATGATTTTATAAATAATGGTGGTGTTGAGTGATGATGTGGGATTGCGTTTAAGTAATGTTAGAGTTAGTCCTATCTTCCTCTGCTCCAACGAGTCACGAGGGACGTGGGCACTCTCTATCCCGTTCCCTACAGGAACCATCTTTAATGTCACCTGTCAAGTTCCATGATGATTATGAAAAAGTTCTTAAAAAGTAAGTAAAGCTGCATTGCTACTTGTGGATGTGCGCAGCTTGCTGGCTTTTCTCTTGGCTTCAGTATTTCTAATTCGTTAAGCCTCATATTAATTAACCACACTATACAGTTCTCTATGACTTTCCCTCTCCAGCTATGTCTGTCAGGAGATGGGGTCTTCCATGTCCAGGGATTAACTTTGAAATCCTTCAGAGACATTTTCAGGCTGTCTTACTTTATATTTTTTAAAAATCCTTGGTACACCAACTTTACACTTCAGTAAGGACTGCCCAGAAGAGAACACTGCCTTTGGGATGCTAAAATCAGGCATCCCTACAACACTGCCAGCCCAGCGAAGTTAACAAATTTCACGACAAACACCAAAGAGACATTCGCGATTACCGCACCTCAGTACTCTGCCATTCTCACAACAAACAATTTGCTACGGGGAAATGTCTCCCCCGTAGAAGAATAATAATTACATATTATAGTGTTGAGGCAGCGTGGGGGAATCAGGCGCTCGTCAAAAATAATGAAAGTCAAGAAATTGAAAATTTTCCGCAGGTTTTGGAATTTTTATCGAATTTTTTTGTTTTGGCTCAGAACCTTCCATGCCCATTAAAAAACACATTTCTGTGTGGAATTTAATAAAAAAAAAACCCATTGATTAAAGGCATAAAAAAAAGAAAATGTTCAGTTTCCACAGACTCTCAAGCTAAAGAAATAACTCAACTTTAAAGGCCATTACCTCGCTAATTTTACCTCTGAAACCAGGCGACCCCCACCTCCTTCAATCGCCAATATCCTGACTTGTATCGAACAAAGATGGATATTTTTTTCCATATGTCCCAAAATTGACCAGAGCCTGATTCCACCGTGTCGTGACACATATAGGTACGCAGTGGTTTAGCTTTGGAAAGGGTCCTAGCGAGTTGGTGTTCGGCAATGCGTAAAGAACCAGACGGACAGGGGAAAGTCGTAGATTTAGTTCAGCGTTTTATTCCGGATCTTACAGGCGGAATGAACAGAGTTTAATAGCGCTAGCAGAAATAGAGTTTATTGTTAGTAGTATAAGAAAACGTGAATTGAAAGATATGGAAGATAATAGATAGATTTATGTAAGGATAGAAGTGGGTTGTGGGTTGGGTGGTGGTGGTTGGGCAGGTAGAAAGATAGATGAATGAATGGGTGAACGGAGGTGCTAGTGGAAGAGTGGATGGATGGATGGATGGATGGATGGATGGATGGATGGATGGATGGATGGATGG